TCTCAAGTATATATATTTAAATTTTTATGTTATTTAAATAAATATTTATGAAGAAAATTAAAATATTCAGTTTTTTTTGTTACACACTATATTTATAATTACTTTTCTAATCCTATAAATAATATCAGAAGTTCACATTACACAAGTGTGTTACTATAATTATAAATATTTTGGCCGATTTCGGAATGTTAACATGCCAAACCACCCACGGGTGTTATAGGTGTTGAAATGTCGATCATTTTAATTTTTAATAATATTTCAGACAGAATTCAGATTCTTTGATGTGGATTAATTTTTCCGTTACACATTTGATCTTGCGATTTGATTGGTTTACCCCTTAAACATCACATGACCCGGAGATTTTTTTCGCCATGGCTAGGGTACTCTCTTGTTTGTTGGTGACGCTGGGGAAGATCAGAAAAAATGATAAAAAATTTATTTAGACGCGTCACAATAACTACTCAAAAATATAAGCCCATTATTAATATTGCAAAACGCACATACGCAGCTGAAGCAGAAGTCAGTAGTTGTAATGTTTAATTAATGTAATAATGTAATAAAAAATGTTTGATAAATATCTTGGTTTTATATATAGAATTTAAAAAAGACACCGTTATACGATTTCCATATTAAATATGGCGGAAAGATGGTAAAAGATTGGTTTTCTTTGCGCAATCATGATAAAATTTTTCTTGATATATTATTGCGCAATCATAATAAAATTTTTCTTAAATAAGGTGCCTTTCGCCGGTTACTCCATGCCACTACAATACGACAAACTTGGTCTCCTTGGCTCACACTTGCATACACGTAAACACGTGTCTTTATTTGACGTGTCTCACATGCTTCAGACGAGGTTTGGTTTTAAATAGTCCATTAATTTAAATACTTATAAAACTAACTATAAACACTTTATTTATAGGCTAATAGGCAAAGACAAAATAAAATTTTTGGAAAAATTAGTTGTGGCCGATCTTGAAATACTTCCGATAGGTAACTCGACTCTTTCTGTTTTTACAAATGAGAATGGAGGTATAATTGACGATACTGTGATATGCAAGCATGATGACCATCTCTATATCGTGTCGAATGCTGCTTGTGCGGATAAGGATTTGGCACATATACAAAAACATCTATCGGAATTTCAAAAGACCGGAGGCGAGGCAGAATTGAAAATTATCGATGACCATGCTTTATTAGCATTGCAAGGTTATTTTTCGATTTTTTATTATTTTCTTTCCATTGTTGCAATTCATATTTTCTTTTTTATTAACAATATTGTATTAGGTCCTAAAGCAGCACCAGCTCTCGAGAGATTGACCGGTCAAAATTTAAATGATTTCAAATTCATGACGGGAAGGTTTATGTCCATTAATGGAGTTGACTGTCATATAACGCGTTCAGGATATACCGGAGAAGACGGTTTCGAAATATCTATACCCGCATCAGAAGCTACTCGCTTAGCTGAACTGATTCTCGATGATCCTTTCGTAGAATTGGCAGGGTTAGGGCCACGAGACAGCTTACGTCTCGAAGCTGGTCTCTGTTTGTATGGGCATGACCTTGATGAGACAACCACACCCATTGAAGCCGGACTAAGTTGGACAATTGGTTCGTAGTTTCTAGAATAGCTTGATGAATTTTATCATTGTTTGTTTGTTTTTTTTCATGTTAATGATGTAATAATAAAGGTAAACGAAGAAAAGAAGAGGGTGGATTCTTAGGTGCCGATGTCATACTTAAACAAATTCACGATGGTCCGAAGCGTCGTCGTGTCGGGATGATTGTTGAGGGGGCACCTGCAAGAGGTATAGCAAATCTATATGAAGCAAATATCCATCAATTCTTTCTTTAATTGTAAGTTTATATTCTATAGAAAACGCGGAAATAACTACTCAAAAAGGTGAAATGATAGGTAAGTATTTAAAAATTTATCAAAACGATAAATCGATTCATAAACTTTACTTGTTAATATAAATAGGTAAAGTCACAAGTGGAGTACCTTCACCCACACTAAAAGAAAATATTGCGATGGGATATGTTCAAGCTGGTCATCACAAGCTTGGTACCATACTTTGGGTTAAAGTTCGGAAGCGAATCCAAAAAGCACATGTAACCAGAATGCCGTTTGTGCCCACAAAATATTACAAATAAGAAAAATGTAAAAATACTGTCTGTAAACTAATAAATGAATTATTACTCGATATAGAATTTTACAAGGGAAAAGAAATTTTATGATTAATAAATAAAATATTGAAGACCCTAATCATCGGGATTAATGGGTGATAAAGTTAACGATGTCCTTCGATTTGGTTCTAAAAGATCAAACTTCTTCACCAAATTCAATATACTCCCACCGATAATATCCGCATTTTTCTTTTGATAACCGCCGCTCAACACCATCACCACTGGCACCTTTTGCTCTAACGCTATTTGAAATACCATCTCGTCTCGTGTAATGATACCATCAGGAGTAAGATCCATCGCGCCCAATGGATCACCTTCGAGACAATCAGTTCCCGCGTTATATATAATGAAATCAGGATGGAACTTATGGAATGATTGAGATATTTTTGATTGTACAAGCGAAAGATATTTTTTGTCATGCTTTGATGCTGGCGTTTTGAGTAGTATTGGTATGGTGGTTGATGATAAAGCGTCCGTATCGTGTGGATAAATGTTCGCGTTGAAGGCGTCTACTATTAGAACTTTATTGTTGTTTGCTAAATCACGTTCTGGACCATTCCCCTAAATGATTTACTATTAATATTCCTGGTTTATAATAATAATAATAATAATAATAATAATAATAATAATAATAATAATAATAATAATAATAATAATAATAATGTTATGAAACAATACCTGATGCGCATCCAAATCTACAATCATTATTCTATTTACTCGATCCGGATGATTGTTTAATATTCGTCCAACCATCATAGAAATATCGGCATAAACACAGAATCCACCCCCACCATTATAATGTGCATGATGAAACCCCCCTTCAAAAATAATATCAACCATTATCTATTGTCAGTTTCTTCAAACAATAGTTAGATTCAAATCTTGGATGAACATTTACCTCCCAAATTAATAGCCCACCCATGTTCTAAAGCCAATTCTGCAGCCAATACACTTCCCCCTGTCTGTAACAGCATAGGTTCCAAAACCTTTTTTCGCATTAAAATCTGTGGTAAAATCGCCACAAGTGGAACTTCTAATATTCGTTGCAATGCGATATTACTTTTCAATGATTCGAGATATTGCTGTGAATGAAGATTCAACAATTCCTCCTCTGTTGGTGGTGTCGGTTCGTGAAATGATTTAGCTTCGAAAAGATTTGATGATAGGAGAAATTTGTGAATTCGTTTATATTTTTGTGTGTCAAACGGATGGATCTGGTGGATTAAATTTACAGATATTCGTGTTAAAATATCATTATTTAGAAGGTTGAATTTTGAACTTTCAGTCGTAGTCATTAAAACTGAAATTTTTGGCAAAAAAATATTGTTAAGTTTATATTCATATACTACGCGTCCCATTTATTACTAGCTGATTCACTTTCTTGAAATAAACAGTACCTTTTCCAAATTCCAAAAAGTAATATTATAACCGGGATGATAAACAATTGGCACTTTTTTCACCAGCGATTTCGACATGTTTTAGTGAATAATTGGGATAATAATTATATACCGATACTGTATGCAATAATGCACTTCAATTTTCCCTAGAGATGACGGGTAGATCATTAACTGACGAGTTAATGTAAAATTGCATTTTCTTGCGCCGGTTCACATATTCTTATTGGTTGTTTATCATGTGATCAGGAACCGAGCACAGATTAGAATTACGCGTATTTTCATTCAAGCGAACAAAAAAATAGAAAATAGTCATGTCTAGTAATCCATAGGTTCAGAAGTGGAAGGGAGCTGATGTTATTAAATTCTTACAGCGTAAAAACAAGAGTTATGCCTTGCACGATGAAGACATCGATATAGTTATAAAAAATAAAGTTTCCGGTCGTGATTTCCTCAATTTGAAGTCTAGAATAGCTTCTAGCCCTCTCTTAAGAAACATAGCAGAATTGGTAATTAAGAGTGAAAAGCAAGGTAAATATCCCGATTGCATTCGAATATTCTAAAACTAGACTGCTTTGTTCGTAATAATTTCATTTATTAACTTGTGCCTTGCTAACATTAGAACTTAAGAAAGGCAGAGGAAGAACGTAAGATTATACAGAGTTGGTTTTCTGTATACTAATGATACTTTATTCCCTCAATCACTAATTTTTTTGCTTAATCAGTTACGATCACTAAACCGAAGAAAAGCTGGGAAGTAAATGGTGCCATTCAACCGCATACGATTTATGCTGTATATTTCGTGGATCCAAAAGAAGAACTTCTAAAGAAGATCCAAGAAGGTGAATTTGTGGCTCTACATGGACTTAGGGCAAATTCAGGAGCAGTTGAAAAAAACTTAGTCTGCATCTGTTACCATGTCGCATATAATCTTTGTTTTTCTTTCATTTCTAATTACATGTCTACCTTTATTCTTGGTTTTTTTCTTTTGGAAAGTGCATCTTTTGAGGAAGTTGATTTCACAGACGTAACCACTTTTTGGAGAACACTTGGTACATCTCTGCAACGTGATGCTTACGAATTACTCGGTTCTCCAAAAAATACAAGAATTATTTCTGCAGATGATTGTACGACGCAGCAGATGAAATTAAAATTCTCATGCCTGAGTGCTCTTTGTGGCATCAAGAACGATAGACCAAGCTACAATATCCTATTCCATTCTTGCTATTGGCCCTTTCAGTATCCTTCATATAAGCACAGAAAAGTTAACTACATCGCCTTTTAATGTCCGGGAGTCATTTCAAAACCCAATCTTTACGATGGAACAAGTACAGTTGCTATACAAACAGTTTGCGGCCGATTTTTTGATCTAATGATTGACCTGGCGGTTATCGAGGACATATATATCCAAACGAACGGGGGAATTACTAGAATAATATAAAAAGATCTTTACTAAGATCCTTAATTATCCTACTCTGTTCTTGTTTGGCTATATTAGTTGTATTTGTTTTTCGCTCCTAGGTTATAAAGCTAAATAAATGTAAAGAAATGTAGTACGCATTTGCAATTACATAAATCAGTAATATTTCGAGAAAATTAACCAGCGCTATGGGTCGACCAATTCAAATGAACTTTTAATAATTTTTTGCAAATTTTCTCTTCCTGCATATCTTTATTCGAAAAATTTTCTTAGCTTTTTCATTGATTCTGAATATGTATTATGCTATTTCCTCAAAAACAGGCAAAAACGCAAAAAAATCTATTGTATAGTTATTATTAGTTGTTATATAGTTAACAAAATCAAAAAAAAAAGATTGTTTTACCCGTCTTGGCTTTAAAATCTATATCTAATAAAGTGTTCTAATAATTAGAATGTTCTTTGACACTTAATTTAAAAAATGTTCATGTTGTCTCCATCTTTTTTATATACAGATAATAAAACTAACGATATAAATAACAGAAACCTAACAAAAACGGATGTTGGAAATAAAAGAAAAAATGTCCCGTGATTTTGTATAAGTTATTCTAAATTCTCATTATGATTATGATTATTATCATCATCATCATTATTATTATATTTGTTGTTGTTATTATTATTATTATTATTATTATTATATCCTTTATTCCACCCCGAGTAATAGTTTGTAATTTAATCACACTTTTGATGGTATGTAAAGACATCTATTCATTCGCGTGATTATGACTAACCCCATTCGTATACTCTGATTCCTGCCATGGACCGTCATCACTAAGTTCACAACCACCGACGCATTTACAAGTACCTCCGAATTTTTCCGGTAAATTTTCGGCATCTATAGCCTCCAATAATGTACTCTGATATTTATTATTAATAATGACGATTTTAGCTGCGGTAACTTCATCCAACATTGGTTTCACTAAATTCCAAACCGAAGAGAACAACATGGGTGCATTGATGATGTAGAATTTACCCATACGTTCCGGATAATAATTCTGACCAATATTGGAGGCTTGTTTGACGAAACCAAAGACATTTGAGAAGGATCGAATCGAAACACCCTTAAGATCAAGAATGGTGCACGAGGTTTCAATTAATTTTCCTGCTTTGACCGAGCACGCAGGTACTCGAATATCCGCTAATTTTTCATATTCTACCACTAGATTTTGAATTTGGCGTTCTAACGTGGTGATCTTATAGAGTGCTTTAATATCCACTTTACCAATTTCCTCAATATAGATCGGACGACCTTCTTTGTCTGTTTTATGATAATAACGAGCATAATATTTCATCACTTCATCACGCTCAGTATACTCGAAATCTCTTACTAATTCATCAACGCCAAACTCTTTTCGCCAGTTTTCAGAGTCAATAATCATTTTCTTTGCTTTCACAAGGTCAAACTTTCGAGCACGCAAGAATCGCAGGAGACAAGCATCGTCGTGACGTTTTTCAACGAAGACACCTTCGGCCTTGAGCTCCTCACGAAACTTTTCCAGAATCTCTTCTTGTTGTGGACTAAGCGAACCAATGTGACCGGTGAATTTCTGTTGTTCTGCGGCTACCGGTGGCATTTTTTAATCGAGTATATATAAATGTGTGTGTGTGTGTGTGTGTGTGTGTGTGTGTGTGTGTGTGTGTGTATTTCTATGTGTAGAGGTTTTTTGGCAAGGTTACAAATAGAAAGGTAAGAGTGGGTGAATTTGTTTTTTAATTGTGTTGAAAAGTGGGTAGAGAGATTGAGATGAAAGTAAGGGGTGGAGGGAGAAGGAAGAGAGAGACGAAAAGGATAGATTTGATAAGGAAGGAAACCTTTTTTTTAGGAGAAATAAGAGTATGTCTTATTTTCTCTCATAGGTTTTTATATGTACATGAAACTTTCTTAAAATATTAATAATGAAAAAGGTTGCGTGCGTGCGTTATTGTGGCTGGGTCAATTATCGATATATCCTTTTTTTGTTGATTCCTTGGGCAATATGCAAAATGCACATTTTATTTATACAAAGATATATTTTCAATCTTTGCAGACAAATTTGTTGCTTTTACATCCCACAATTACCCGGAGAATTTCTAGAATGAAATTATTAATATATTTCTCGGTTTCCAAAGTCCCTAAATTACTTATGATAATGCATAATGCACCAATGAATTGTCGGATAGAAGTTGAAACATTTTTCCTTGATAGAAAAATAACTATAAATATTGTTTTCTTAATTTGTATTATCCAATTTTTTTTTCTTTTGGCACTTTCGGATACACATTAATACATTCCTGCATTATCCCTCCATGTTTCCTGATTCGCCAAAATGAATATTTATACGGTTTACTGGGCCAAATAAAATATTTTATTTTTAGTTGTATGTCTTTTTCAGGAAATTATGAAAAAAATCCCAGAATTAAAAGATCGAAATTAAAACTTTATTTAAACTCCGCCTAAACGAGTAAAATTTTTCTCAGGCACTAAAAATAGCTTTGACTCTAATGTCATAAAAATCAAAAATGTCAAAAGCTTTCGTGAGAAACCAGAGTATTAAAAAAGGTTGACGTCATTTTATGAGAAGTGGGACGCGCGTTAGTTATTATTTGTCTTGGTTCAGAAATACACCCTATTCTCATTATAGTTATAGGAAGAGCTGGGTACATGCTAATTATGGTCTAATTGTAAAGTGTCAGTTTAAATATTGACATTCATAAATTCACGTGAATATATTTAACATTAAATTCAAAATGAGCCTTGTATTACAACACACTACCACCACACGAGTTCAGCTGACCAATGAAATTTCTAAGCCCAGCCACCATAAAGAAAAGTAACTCCCTTAGCGTTAGGAAAATTTCAATGCCTTTTTTTTCGATGTTTCATCTAAGTTTTGGTCGATCAATCCGTGACCGACCGATTAGTCCCGACTCTATATATATATATATATATGTATAGGAACAAAAGCAAGAAAAGATAGATTCTTTTGATAAGATATCATTTTGGCTACCTGGTATATAAAGACCCAAAAGAAAAGAAATATGTCTACGCCATATAAAAAATAACCACCAACTAACACACCGAATACCTTTTTACTAACAACTAACAAACTTGACACTTGCTTAATAGTTAACATTACATTTTGCAAAAAAAAATTACAAATGGGCACCAATAATAATAATTATAATAGTGCTGACGATAAGAGAACGAAAGCAAAAATGGCGATACAAAGGTCAGATAAAGCGAAACTTGCTAAAACTGCTACACAAGATTATAATTCTTTGCGAGAAGAAAGTTCAAAATCACGTTCTGTTGTTGCCGGGAGCAAGGAAACTTTGAAACAGCGAGAAGGAGGTAGCTCTAAGTTTACTATTAGTCAAAACCATGGGGACATTGTCAATAAAAGGCCCATTCCTACAAATGGTAACCCGAAAGTGGGTGGTGGTGGAGGGGCTGTTAAAAGTTCAATTAATAGTAGCGTAAGAAAACACTCTTCCGTTGGTGATCATTCGAAAACTCCATATAGCAAAATTTTATCCCTCAATAAAGGTTCCGTGACGACAACGCCATCGGTGACGAATGGTAATAGGCACTTGCCAAGAGAAAATCTTGATGGTTTGAAAAGTGGTGCTATTCGGAAAGACAGCAATGGAAAGAATGTTATTGCAAGAGATAGCAGCAGCAGTGCGAACGATCATAAGAAAGCAGAATCAAATAATACGCGAGAAGGAAGCACGGCATCCTCCTTTAAGGCACTTGTTAGAACGCCGAGACCTTTAGCACGACCTGCGCCAAATTTAATAAAAGCAGATACATCTCGAACTAGTTGTGATACTCTTTCACCATCCCATAAAATTACTTCTCTTCATTTGACACAAAAACAACCTTCTTTGACAAATCGTACATCATCGTCCTTATCATCTTCGATATCAAAGACATCTGTATCGCCAAGCACGCAAAAAGCGATGTCAAAGACAACAAATCAAACATCCAATAATAAAGTAACAACTTCCTCCACAAAATCAAAAACACCAAGCACAGGTGCAAGCGCAAATGCAAGTTCAAGTGCCAAATCAAAATCAACGCCGACTTCTGCATCGAAAATATATTCAGACCTTAAACATCTGCCAGGAAGGCGACCGATTGCAAGACCTACAGGATCTGTAAATAATAATAATAATAATAATAATGGAATAACTGAAAGTCAAAGGGTCTCCTCAACTATAAAAGCTGAAAAAAGGCCTCGGTCTCTACAAGCTCCTTCTCGTGATGAACAACGACCACAATCACGACAAAGTTTGTCGGCTCCCGCTACGCTACGGAAAAGACCGGAACGAGATTTCTCGCCAGAACGACGTCCTGCAAAGCGCCCTGCCACTGGGCATAACGATAATCTTCAGTCTGTTCTGTTTAGTGTGTTTGGTTATGATAGACGAAGGTAAGTTGGCTTGATTGATTTTTTTTTTGGTAAAATTACTTATATCGAATTTTTTTGCTTTTAGGTATCGAGATGATTATTCGGATGACGACGACATGGAGGTTTCTGGGCTCGAGGTACTGCGTGAAGAAGCAAGAAGGTATTTTTTATTTCCTCTTCTCGAATCAACAGGTCAATCAATCTTTGATAATGAATATAATAGAAGAATTAATTAATATAAATTATTTTACAAAGCGCTAAAATCGGTTATCAAGAAGACAAGAGGGAAGAGATGCTTGAGCGACAAAGGATGATGCAGCAAAAAACAAAAACCCCACGACCTTTGGCTACAGATGCTGCGCCTCGAAAAGGATGTAAATAAATCAAAAGCATACTTCTTGTTTACTTTATGTGAAAATTTTTATATTGTTGGTGAGTAGAAAATTATTTTTTTATGTGTAAATTCTCTTAATTATTATTATTATTATTGTTAATGGATTCTGCTCTTAATTCTCTACAAGTTCAACTTTTATCTCTCACTTTCCTGTGCGTAGATCCCAAAATGATATAGAATTATTTTTCGTAGTATATATTGATTTATAGATATTACTTTCATTCCTTTTGTTAAATAATCATAGTTATCGTCCATCAAATTTCCCCCCCCCCCCCATTATTGTCCGAGCGAATAATCAACCATTCTCTCTTCTGTTTCTTAACCAAAATACTTTATAAATATGACAAGAAAACCAAAACATAGGCGTCTAATCGAATCACAATTATCTTTTTGCAAGATAAATATGTGATCTATGTGCGCACTTTATTGTAATTTCATAGCATTACACACAAACCACCATCCTTTATGATGTGAATATAATTCAAACTCTTTTAAGTAGTAGTAAAATGTTATGTCACCATCATCATCATCATCATCATTATTATTATTATTATTATTATTATTATTATTATTATTAATTATTAGTATTATTAGTAGTATTTATATCAAATCAGAGACTATATGGTGCATTAAATTTAGTCAACAAATATGCACATATTTTCATATACAAATGGTGTTAGAGAGAGGTTTTTAGGCTGGTATGGTTAATAACAGTAGATATTTGTAATGTAATAAGTATTTTATTATTACACTTGATATGTACAGCAAATTCATATAATACGCATATTCATAATGTAAATTAGTGCAGACACTTTTCAATTTCGTATAAACTCAATGCGGTTCATTCATACATTAATTATATATTATGACAAGCTTTAAATTTCAACATTTAAGAAAAAAATTCTTCCTTGCACGTTCATACAAATCTCGTTCTAACTCATTAACGATCCCACTGAACTCTCCGATTTGCATCAACAATTCTTCAGCCGCATATCTTAACAAGTTTTTGTAGTCTTCATGATATTCGCCAAATAAATCTTCATTGGAAAGGTGATCTGCATAGGAAAAAAATTCTTGACCAAGGGAAAGAATTTTTTCGCTGTTTGATTGGTTGTCATCGTCGTCGTCGTCGTCGTCATCATCGTCATCATCGTCCCCAGATATTTCGTCTTTTTTGCGTTCCAAGATTTTATGCGTTAATGATACTGGTGCTGGTGATGATGATGATATATTTGAGTTATCGTGAAATTTAGCAGCATAAAGACGACAAATGAATTCTTGAACTGTGGGTATTTCTCCCCAGTCCATTTCTCTTTCTTCTGATGCTAAATTTGCGAGGTGCAGATTCTTAAAATATAGGCTTTCTTTTCCTATCATTATTATTTTTTTATTATTAGTAATACTGCTAAAATGAAAAAAAGAATGTAACAAATGTTCGGCGTACTTTTTTCCTCGAAAGGACGAAAAAGTTGTTTCTCTGCAAATTTAATGTATTCGTCCGGATAGGTTTCCGAATATTCATGCCACTGGCTATGTAATTATTATTAGCGAATAATGAGCGAAAACTTTTGCATAGGAAGATGAATTCATGAAGGAAAATAGAATTCGATAAGAAACTCTTTTTTATGTATATCATTTTTTGACTTACCGAAGGTCTATAGGTAAATCGTGTTTATTTTTATGTGCAAATCTTTCTTGAAGTGCTGCAAGCCACTTTTCTTTTGACGGAAAGTACTTGACGAATTGATCTTTTTCTGTGGGTATCCTTTAAATGACATGACCATAATTATATTGTACACAAAATTAAAGCACATAACAGAGTTTCTTCACTTGAATAGAAATCTCAAAGAACCCACAAAACGCATTATGTTAATGGCAAAATCCAATCGAATACCTTTTTTGTCCATCAAGACCATACATCAATTTAGCAATAACCACCAACAAACTCAACAATTTTGGAGCAGGATTTACATAATGACGTCTCAAGTAAGCCGAGCTACTTAGATCCAGCCCTACAAGATTTCCTAGTTCTTTGGCGATTGGGTAAAATTCGACTAATATAAAGAAATAAATATATCATCCCATAACTAAGAGATATTAGAATGAGCAATGCGAAAGAAGAATACCTGGTAATAAAAATTCTCGTATATACCGATACAGCATCGGCGGCATATTTATCTCTGGAAACAAAATCCCGTAACTTGAATAATAGGTGCTCGTGAGCTTATTCACAATTTTCTCGAAATGATACATGGGATGCATTTTCTGGAATAAAAGATCAATTTCAATCGATATAAAGAACAATGATGTAGAATAAAGGAACTAGTACAAAAAACACGGTAATGTATACAATTGGTTCAAAGCTTTTATTATATCTTTCGATACGACGCCTCAGAGAGTCGGGAAGCAGTGTACGTGCAGTGTAATACGGGATTCTATCGTTGTTTGCCCATCTATGTGCATCAATATGAACAGAAAATTAAGACAAAAAGATCTTTATATATATATGAAAAAGGGTTAGTTAATTACTTGATAATATCCGTTAACAATATCGGCTGTCTTAACCAAACACATCCCAAATATAAAATCGCTAAATTGACATTCATCTTTGGTGAAATTGAGAAATTTTTACGAACATATGTTCGCTTTCCTCGGTGGCCTTCTTTCTCATTTTCATCGTCCTCGGCCTCATCCTCATCCTCGTCCTCGTCCTCATCCTCATCCTCATCGTCCTCGTCCTCGTCCTCATCGTCCTCGTCCTCATCATCCTCATCCTCATCCTCGTCCTCGTCCTCGTCCTCGTCCTCGTCATCATCATCATCATCATCATCATCATCATCATCATCATCATCATCATCATCATCATCATCATCATCATCATCATCGTCACCACCATCATCATTATTTTCCTTCATCGAATCTTCTACATCATAATTTCGATCGTCATTATTGCTTCCTTCTGATTCATCAGAAGACTCTCTCTCTTGCATAATCAACAAATTTTCAAGATTTTCATGTTTATTGTCATAAGCTGCGATATCATCCTTGTTATCCTCCTTATCCTTCTCGTACTTATTCCTAATCCTACCATTTTCGTCAAGCCATTCTGGTGGAAACCTGATATCCGGTAAATCGTTAAACAATAAAATCCAAAGATGGCGAATTATGTGCTATTTTTAAATCATAAAATTTGTTTAAAATATAAAAAAACTCTTTCCCATATAAAATATAAGCGAAATATACTTCATATTCAGGCGGGCAATTTATATCCTCAATCATCACGCGAATTTGGTGACGAAGAACATGCTGAAGGGAAACAATGTACACGTAGGTTTTTTTATCACCGTAATAAGCAGTAGCAGCTACATACCAACAACAAAAAAAATAATTATAGCACTTTATATTGATCCTTGAATTTTAGTATAAATAAGAGATGAACATAATAGAATAAAAGAACAGCTGACAAATCAACTTACCTTTCACTTCTTGATTTTTGCGAATTTTTTTTCTCTTTTGGCTCCTGTTTGGCCGACAAGGATCGTAGTCCTCATTAACTTGCAATATTAAACGCTGATATCGTTTGCGATAATTAATTAATATTTTAATTAAACACTCTCGTTAATCAGCTTCAGTTTTTTTAGCCATTTCTATCGATTTCCGATTTTCAGTTAAATCCAAATAAAAGTATGTAGTATTTTCATTTTTGCATTTTATATAGAAAATATTTCAGGGTATATACCTCGTCCCTATGCCCGAGTGGACACACAAAACCTCCGGCTCCGTCAGGAAACCGCGCTGTAAGTCCACAGTAATGACACTCTTGTCCCTTCTTTTTAGATTTATTGAGTTTTAAAGAATGTCTTGGAAAAGCCATTTTTTTTTTTTTTTACAAATGAGTGACTTATACTTTCAAACTTATACTAACGCTGATCAAAAACGAGAAAACTAATCACAATTTTAAGAAATAGACACTACAGGACAAGGATGCTACGTAAAATTGACGCATTTTCTAATTTAAAATTACAGTTTTAAAGTTTCGCCGTCATCTAAATTAAATTACCCAATAGGTGACCATATTGGAGCCCACCCGTTTCCCTCGGGAATTGAGGATTGGAGGCATAAAAGTACATGAGAAATGATCTGACGGAAAGTCTCACGAACTACCTCTTCCATCAAGATAATATATGCCCACATTATGGAGACATTGGCGAGCTGGTTGTATGGCGTGATTTGGGCTAAGCGCTGTTGAAAAGAAAAAAGGAAAGGAGATCTAAGAAAAATAATTTGAATCATCACATCTGTAATGGTAAATGCTATTAAACTGGTACCTTTTGATTTTCCCACAAAGCGAGCAGATTTTTCGTCTCATTCTAAATATGCTATATGCGCATTACACGTTCCTGCGGAATTGATCCAAGAATAAATGCTAAAAGTTGGTTGCAAAAAAAGTCTGATTAAAGATTAGCCGCGGAATGCACTCTTATCGTTATGATTAGCCTCTACTCTTTTATTGTCATAAAGATAAAGCTGATTAATTAAAAAAAAATTTACTAATTAATCATTTATTTCATCTATATATACAATAATATAATCATACATAGCATGACAGTCTCGAATTTTTTTATTTCATTACATAAAACTGATGTAATTTGTATTACATGTAGAAATTAATTTCTTCCTTCAAAATCAATCGTTTCTTCATTGGAGTTCCGTTAAAGTTGTGCCACTTGAGGATTTTGACATTTTCTTTGTTGCGTTGTTTTAAATTATAATCGTCTTTTTCGATTTCACTGTAGTATTCATTATCGAGATCGTTGGATGATTCGATATTTTCATTTCTTTCGTTTTAATTTGCTCCCAAAGCTCCCTTTCATCTCTGTCTTCCTATCCCGATTCCCTTCTAAGGTAAATCATCCTAAAGCTCTATAATTACTCACCCAAATATAAAAAGGTTTATCTATCGACTGCCGCTTAGATGTTTTGGCTTTAATCTTCTCCTCACCTGCAACAAATCATCTTTATCATCAGCCTTCCCAAACCGAACTCCACGGAATCATCACTTTTACACACGGAAATACACCCTACCCGATACATCCCTCCTCTTATCTTAAGCAGCATAACGAATATGACACCACCGGCGAGGCGTATCACGTGCTTAAACAAAGCAAGTATTTACAATTAATACCAACGTATTTTGTAAGGTATGAATTTTTCAGCCTTAATTTATCGTTATCACCTCTATATATTTTACAATAAGGGCCTCAGACCCCTATATTAATGCACGTGATACAGTATCTGGAACGATGTTAATCATTCAAAATCTACATAGTAAAATGTAAAAGGCAAAAACTATATCATAAAAGGACGAAGTTGGCGAGCGCAGCAGATCGAAGATCCGCGCAAATATTACCCGCTCAGATTAATTAATCGCGAAACCGGGACATATAGCAATTTCTATACATAACGAAGAATATAAGAAAACACATTAAGAAGAAAATATGAAAATTATTAACTATTTACATGGTAATTTATAAAAGGATGACACTTTTTAACATTATTATTAAGAATTCCTTATTATATAATATATCGGTATTCATATGTTGATCATCATGATTGTTGTTGCTGTTGCTGTTGCTGTTGTTTAAGTAATTGCTTTTGTGCTGCCATAAGCTGTTGATGGCGAAGAGCAGCCTCCAGTTGTTGTTTTTGTTGTCGGAGTTGCGTTACTTCCTCTTTCATGTCATCAACGATCAATTTTTCACACAGATAGGTAAGATGATCGGGTGCAGGTTTCTAATTAATTATTAATTAATAATTAGAGAAAAGACTTTTCAATAATGGCTATGAATAAAGGATCTACCTCTGCTTCTTTTCGAAGAATATCATGAAATTTGTCATATATAACTTTTCGTCTCTTTAGGGAGCGGAAAGCAAACCTAACATCTATATACACACACAAACACACATATATATATTAATTGTAAAGTATAATTAATATTTGGTACTTGAATATAAAAAAGATTAGAATTTATTTTTCACAATACCTTCTTCCTCTGTTGATGTATTTTTATTCGAGTCAAGCTCTTCATCGGCATATTGATATATATGATACGGTAAGAGTCGATTCAGCACATCTCCAAATGATGAGAATGGTGTTTTATAATCGGGATACAAAACAGCTCGATGATCCTCGGCCAATCTCTGTGCAAAGCTACAATTTTAAAAAGATTTATTTATTATAGAGGTAAATATACGTAGAGCAATAGAAATTTTATTTTTACTAACCTGTATTGTACCTGCGATTGCGCAGAATCAGTCATGTGCACCGCTGGTTGTGCTATTGTTCTCTGATCTATGCTTAATGCTTGTTGTTGTTGTAGTAGTTGTTGTTGTTGCTGTTGCTGCTGCTGATGATGATCCGCATCAGCTTCTTGCTGACGAGGTCTTTTTTTAGAGTATCGTCCTGTTTTATTATATTTTCGCGTCGGTTTTGTCGAAGTCTCATTATTTGTGGGGGTGGGGGTGGAAGATATGCCAGTAGTTGAATATAATGAGGAAGGAAGAGTTTTTGAGGATAATGACTTCATAGGGGATTGTGCTGTCGGAAATGAAGATGCTGATGATGATAAATATGATTTTGTGGAATATTTGTTGGTTTCTAAATCGACATTCTCCACTTTATTAGGTGTTTGTAGTAGATTTAAAGTTTGCGGTGCGATCATTCGTGTGTGACCAATTTGATTAATGGTGGCTGGAGTTAATGAGCTGCCCGTTGTGAGTTTTGATGTTGGGCTCTGTTGAGGAGTTATTGTTGTTGCTGCTGTTGTTGTTGTTGTTGTTATTACATTTTGCTGTGGTACAATCATTCGATTGTGTGAAATGTGATTCGTGGTAGGTGTAGTTAATGAACTACTACTATTATTATTATGTCTTAATGATTGATATGGTTGTTGTGTTTGTAAGGATTGGGAGGCAATCATTCTATTGTGGCCGATTTGATTAGTAGCGGGTGCATTTAATGAACTTTGTGGTCTTGATGACTGAGATTGTGGCGTATCTGCTGCGGGAACTGTAAGGTTTGACGCGTTCACTGTTGATTCTTTGTTTGTGCTAGTGAGAGCTGGTGTTTCCAAATAGGTCCTATGTATTTCTTTGATCTTCTCCATGAGTAACTCCCTTGTTTCTACCGGAAGAGACTGTACTGACATATTTCCAGGTAATTTGTATATGATTTGTCCATTTTTATGGACCATCAATACACGAAGCCCAACTAATTCGAAATGTCCCACTACATTTTGGCTCTCAAGTTCCTCGTTAGTAGGCAACGGTACATTATGCACGCCCGATACCCCAGAGCTATGAAGCTTCCCGTTAGATTGCCCGTTAAGCTCAGGCACGGACGCCAAATTTGGCAAGATTTTAGGTTTTTGTGTGGATGTTATATCCGCGGCCTTCTATTTTAAAATAAAAGCAAGCTTAGAAAAACATTTGGTCTCAAAAAATAAACAAATAAGTTACGAGGAGAAAAATTGGCGAATGTCACATTACCTGCTGAGGACCCTTTTCCGCATTCTTATACTCGGCTTCTTTGGGTTGATTTGGTAAAATCTCTTTAAATTGTTGCTGACCGTTGTTGTTGTGGTCAAAGTTTTTTGTGCAGTCTGATATATCAGTTGAATACATATTTTTTTCACGGTTTAATTATCTATTCTGATGATGGTAGGTAGTATCAAACGAAAAAATCGAAAAAGTTAAGGGTAAAAAGGCCCAGATTTTTCCGTTTGGGAAATATGATTTATATAGTTTATATGGGCTGATTCAAGATCTTGGATACATGAACCCTAAAATTATGATGATCTTTTTTTAATGCTAAAAATTAATAAATTAATGTCACAAAATTGATGCCAGTTTTTGGTTTTTGGATACTGAACTGGTGAGACAGTGTTTCTGTGAAGGAATTGTAACGTCAAACAATCTTAAAACTTAAAGATTTGAATGAGTGAATTTATTTCTTCAAGTTTAATTAATTTCATGTAAATTCTGCCGGGTAATACGAATTCACGTGATTATCCTAAATACAGTTGATTGATTGATAATTTGTTCAGTGATAATATATTTTTATTTTGAGAGTTTATTTTATATTGATTTAAATAATTAAATTAAAAATCTGATAAAGTTCATCTTTATGAACCTAAAACTTTTAAGGAAAAAAAGGATAAAAAAGAATTTTTTAGAGCAAAATATTATATAAATATAACTTCTATCTATAGGAATGTCTATTTTTATAAAAAAATCGACTATATTGCGCCAAAAAAAACTATTACTACGACAAAAATTATTACTACGACAAAAAATCATCACATACATTTATTATTGGTATTATTAATGATATTGATATTATTATAGTTATGTTATTTTGATGATCAGGAAGTTCTTTATGAATTATTTATCCAGAGCCACCCTTGTATGCTTTGCCGAAGAAAATGATTTGAAGTTTATCATAACCCGCCAACACACCAGCACCAGCAATAGCACGAAGAATGTTAGCACCAGCTCCCTTGAACAAGGATTTGGTTCCTTCTTTGGCAACGATTTCTTTAAAGGCGTGGTATGATGATTTGTATTTAACTGCTTCACCGGATGTCATCATCATACGACGACGAATAGTGTCAATCGGATATGAAGCCAAACCAGCGCCAATAGTGATACCCCAGCCAAGCAAGAAACTTTTAGGAAATAAAAAGATTATGTGAGCAAGGGTTTTGGTAAGTTTGATAATAATTTTATGGAGGTTAAATTCTCTAATAAGGACATAATGATCAAGAATGTTTTTTGATTCGTTACCTTGGCAAGAATTGATCTTGAAGACTTCCACGAAGAACGATTGGTTTCAAAGAGTCATACATACCGAAATACAAACCTAATATCCAAATATGGTAACTTAATATGCAGATCATATTTTCAATGATTAAATTAATTGATTATATCATAAAATACCTCGATAAATTATAATTCCGACGCAAGAGATGTTGAATCCTATGCAGATGCAATGATCATGTGATTTAATATTTTTCGGTATTACAGATTCAGACGGATCAAAAATTTTCAGATTTCAGCATACCTCTATAAAGACCAATAATGCCATCAGACTTGATAGTCTTGCGATACACATCAACAAGACCATTAAATTGGCGTTCACCACCCTTCTTTGCGCTTTTCGCGTCATTAGCAAGACGAGTACGTGCATAGTCCAATGAATATACAACCGTTAAAGATGCGGCACCGGCAGCACCACCTGAAGCAATATTACCAAAGAAAACTTTCGCATAACCGTCTTTCTCCTTTTTATAGTTAAACATTCTCTTGAATTTATCTTTGAAGGCAAAGTTCAACGCCTGGGTGGGGAAATATCTGATAACATTCGCGGTGTTACCACGCCAAAGCGAAATGATTCCTTCGTCTCGTATGGTACGAGTAAAGCAATCAACGATACCCTTATAAGGAGTCGCAAGACGACCAGTTTTTAACATCTCATCTTGGTTTTGAATTAAGAGTTTTACACGTTCGATGGGAGCCGCGGCAGTTTTTGATACGGCGGCTGATACACCACCCATTAAAAAATCAACGGCGAAGGAGGAAACGTCTTTCTTTTGACCACCCGACATATTATAGGTTATAAAATTAACTTAGTAGAGGAACAGAGTGGGGAGGAAAATAATAAAAAGTACCGAGAAGGAAAAAGTACAACGGCAAACTAGATGAAAAAAAGTGAGAGGGATCAATGATCAATTAATTATAGATTAGCTTTTTTTTTGGACGGCAGCAGATGATTGGTTATTCGGGAATTGATAATGCGTAAAGTAATTGGACCATTCAACGTGATATTTTTTTGCAGCTTAATCCGGAATTCCCGTTGTTCGTTTTGTTTCATATTCTGCAGGGAGTGATGGCCCATTCGGAAAAATTGGTGTTGCAGAATTAAAAAAAAAAAAAGCGTTTGCTCTCTTTTTTCTCGAAATTCTGGATAGTTGCTAAGGCTTTCTTTCAGTCTTACGGAAACGAACAAAAGAAATGTAAGTCTTTTGAATGTGCCTTTTTTTACCCTTGAAGGCAAGCGCATATGTAAATATATATACGCATTATGGTATATGTGTTTTTAAATATGATGACATCTCCAAAGTCTCCATATTATTCGTATGTATATTGCGAGTATGTGAAGGTTGACCCAATGACTACGTACGGTATCTGAAAATATGTATATTTATATGTTGTGTGTTGCCTTTAAAATAGAATACTTTGTTCACTTAATTAGAGAGTAACATTTTTTTTCTTTGTTAGGTTCTAATGGGATTTATTTTTTCTTATCAATATTTATTATGAAATTTTTTTTGGAAAAATAGAAGACGAATTTTTACTATTAATTACATCAAGTTTTTCCCCAATAAAATAATAATTTTAATTAAATGTATAACAATAGAATAAATCAACTTTTCGAAACTGTGCAATAACCTGGATCAATAATGAGGGAGGAATTGTGATTAAATTAGTGCTAGCGTCATAAGTAAAAAATGCATCACATATATGCAAATTGAGAATTCTCAATTCCAGCCAAAGAACTAAGAAAGTTGAAATCAATCAATTAAAATGTAGTTTTCTTTAGCCGTTTAGTTTAATTATTAATTAAATATTTTATATAAAGACACTGATTTATCTAGAGTTTATAAGCGAGTTTGTTTTTCAAATAGAAGATTAATGGAATTTCCTATCACGTGTCTTAAATGATATTTGTTTATGGAAAAAAAATTCAACGATGGAGTATTGTGTCTTTAAAAAACTTGCAAATAAAAAAACCCCGTTGCTACGAATAACAACAACAGCAACACAACAAGAGTTGACAGCAACAAAGACCCAAAAAAAAACAACAACAATAAAATAATAATAATAATAAATATATATTTATTATTATTACTATTATTATTATTATTATAATTGTTAGTGCAACAAATTCAAAATTATTGTTATTTTGATAAACGGTCCTCGGAGCATCCAAAAGATTTCTATTTTACATATCATCAAACGCATCGACCGCGCGCGCGACATTTTTAGTTTTACACCTGCTCAACTGAATTCCATAACACGCATAACTAAAGTGAACTTTACAATCTATATCACCACGTTCCGTCTATACTCAACCTTTCCAGTGAACAAAGCAAAAATTAAGGGGACAGCCCCCTTTTTCATATTTGAGTGACGTTGTATATACAAATATTATAAAGTTGTTGAGATAAATAACTTCATTATAGAAAGGACATAGTGTTATCAACGTTAGTTTACCTTCTACTATCACTACTACTATTTTACCACACACGTCGATTACAAGTCTTGCTTAGGTATTTTTGGCGAGCGTTTGATTATGGTGGCGACTACTACGATTCCTAGTAATGCTCCTAACGGGGACTCCTCAACTACAACCACTACAACGATTACAACACGTTCAAAACGCCAACAAAGTCCAGACGTAATTCCAAATACAACGTCGAAACGAATAAAGGGCGTTCACGAAAATATCGAGATCGAAGAACACCCAAGCCAGATAAATAAAGAGAATTTAGCAGCTGCTACTGTGACTGTTTCAAATCTCGATTCTTCTACCGCTACCACACCGGTAGCTACAGCCGCTAATAACACCACCAGTGCAGCATTGAATCAGCCTGTAACCCAATCAAAGACGTCTGAAAAGAATGAATGTAAGGCTAAACGAAAGACAGACTGGCTTGTTTGTGGTCTCTCGTTTTTAGTCTAATATTAATTGTATTTCGTAAAAATATGAATTTAGTTCCAAAACGTCCTCAGAAGATAGCTTTGTATCAAAGAGTGTCGGATGGATTCGTTTTCTCTAGTACGCGTAAACTTTCATCCAATCAAGATTCTAAAATTATTCTGAGCAAGTGTTGACCTTTATATAGAGAATAGATTGATTTGGGTATCTTTATTATATCCCATACACTTACATCTTTCATTGACAATAATCTATTAATCTTCTTCAGCTGGAAATGTTCAGCCAGTAGCTGTTGTGTCAACTCAATCGTTGGATGAACAAAAAGTGCCAACATTGGATTCTATCCTACCCAAATATCCACAGATAAAAAAAGAACGGAAAACTGAAATAACAGTTCCCGGAAGTAAGACGATTAATTTCCGCAAATAATAGAAATCACCAATTCGGTAAAAAAAATATCGTACTAAAATCACATGAATTTCTATTGATATAGTAAAAACTCTGAACTACGGTCCTTTCTCATCGTTTGCACCTACTGTCGATACTTCAAATTGCATGGTAACTATGGATGAGATCGTGCTATTACAGCATCCAAAATACAGAAAGAATAATTCAAAAAAAAATGTACATAATATTTTTCAACAACCCATTGATGTTGATTCGGATGAAAATGAATCTGTGGATGATCCAGAAGAGCAGGAGGAGGAACGGGGGGAGAAGGAGCAAAGCACGGAAATGATGGATATTGACATGAACAATAATAAAAATAATGATTCTTTAGAGAAAGAGAGTGAAAATATAAAACAAACGAAAAATCTCGAAAATGAGGTCTTGAATATCGAAGAGAATTCGTCTTCGCCAATTCAAGACAGTAATAAAATGCTAGATAGAGAAGATGATAACTTAGAGATTGATAAAAAAGAGTTGTTAGAGGAGAAAATTGATAAAAAAGCGTTACTAGAAGAAGGAATTGATGTCGATTTGTTAATGCAATTATGTGAGCCTGATTCTCAATCGAAATCAACAAAATCACTTAATGAAAGCGAAGTAACTACTAGCAAGGGTAAAGAGGTGTGCAAGCGAGATGCTGAAATCGAGGATGATGCGATATTATTGAAAGAAAATCTTCCACTCTTTCAAGAGATTCAAAAACTGCAAGATGAAAGATTTGCCAAAAATCCCGAGCATATCTCTCCAAGAGAAAGAGAAATAGGTCAGGATTTAATCTTTACTTATAGAACTCTTATTCATCCATTCATATTATTAATTTTTTCTTTATATACCAACTTGTCAACACTCTAGCTTCTATATTAATGGAACGCTTGGTCAATTTAACAAATAAAATTCCACCCTATTTGCTCGTATCATTAGAAGAAATTGAAAAAGCAGCTGGCCGGATACCAATAAAAGAACCATCTTATAAAGGAAACCTTCCCGTCAATAAACCGCATGGTTATTCAACAAATAATGGGATAACCGAGAATGCAATTTCAAATGGGCTCGCAGCACCGGGATGGCAAATTAATAGTCAGTCTGCTTCAAGATCCCAACCTACCGGTGGTATTCAAACTGGTGGTATGACGATGCAGCAGCCACCGCATCATTTATCTATGCGTACAAGTCCTCCGCAGACGAGATCAATGTCAAGAGCCCAAAATATGAATGAAGTATATTCTTCTCATCCACCATTACCTCCGATGCAACAAATTTCATATGGATCTAATAATACACCGGAAACTCCTCTTTATCCAAAAACACAAAATGGATATATCAATAGTCAGATAACTCCTTATTCTATGAAATCACAGTCACCATATCATAATCCATCGACATCTTATCCTCCATATCATCACTCCCCTTCACCTTATCCTATTATACCAGAAGCACGGGCAATTGGAGTACAGCATCCTTCATATTCATCATCAACACATCCTGGGTATCCACAGCATCCTCCGATTTCACAAGATGGCTACTTGTCTACATATCATTCCTCATTCTCGTCTACACAACCAAACCCTGTAATTCCTTCCTCATCACAAGCCGCTTATATGTCCACGCAGCATACATCATATTCGTCGACGCAGCAAACAAATTATTCATCAATGTCAAAATCTTACACTATCAAACCTCAAAATCCATTTCATCATCATTCCACTTATCCCACATACCAACAACTCCCACCATATCATATGATGCAAAATGCTGCCTACAATAAAGAACCGCAAGCTAGGACTTTAGGAATGCAGCAACAATCTTCATACATACCATCTGCACATCCTGGATATCCGACGCAACAGCTTCCTCCAATTTCTTCAGCCTCGCAATCCGCTTATCTGCCGACTCATCACTCACCATTCTCGTCGGCACAGCAAACAAACTATTCGTCTTCGCCAAAAACTTCATTCCCTTTGAATCAACAGGCTCCCTATCTGACAATACCACCGATACAACCATCTATCTCGCCAACTCCACAGGCCGCATTCTCTGCTCCACCAAACAACTTGCACACACATATCTTCAAATTGTTAAATAATTAATATACTAACGAAACAACAATAGTCATTTGTTTTTTAATTAATATTTACATCGCGTAATGCGAAAAAAAGATAAAAAAAAAGTTTAATAAGCAACATAACAAGATCGTCATATTATTGTTACATGATTATCGTTGTAAATGCGATATACGAATAATTTTATCAACTTTGTGCTAACGCAATCTGCTTAATGCAAAAAATGCTTGATCGGCCTAAATCCTATATGTGATTGTTTCTACCAAATATTCACTAGTAGTGAATAATTACTTTTGTTAATATAACTAGATAAAGTTTTTGTCCAATTGTGGCAAATTTCAAACACTAAAATTGTAAATAAAAACACGATTCCAAACGCAAAAATAATTCCAGTACCAAGTCCATTATCTTTATTGAAAAAATAAACACCAAGCCCATAAAATCCAAACAAATAAAAAAATCATTGTTGAATCTCGAATTCTGAGTAAAAGTGCAATAGTGATCCATTAGCCTTTCTCAAAAAAAAAACTTCAGGTTAACAACATGGTTGTAAACATTCAAACACTTTGAAAATAACTTTGTGAAGGCTCTCAGATTTCGTGGCACTATTACTTAATTGGCGTTTAAACAAATCAAGAGCGCTTTGAGCTCTTTGCTAATTGTGATGGATACGTGATATGCTTTTAGCATACTTATAATAATACTGGACAAACATATCAAACAAAATCAAACACAAAAGTACCAAATTATATGTGAATTTTTCACCAGTCTTTGAAAAATCGGGCATATTACCAGTATTTTATCTAATTGACAAAAGATATCAACCATAAGTAAGACGTGATTATATATTATTAATCTTTAGCTGTGTTATTAGCATCTCAAGCATGCTATTAACAGAACAAGCAATCAAAAACAAGTGTATATACTGCAGTAAAAGAATTGGAAATTCATAAACAGTTTGCTTTATTAAATCTAATAGAAATATTGAAATATTATATTCAAAAAATTCTATTAAAGATATGTAAATAGATTCGGTATATTTAGCTATTGTTAATATAATAATTGTAAAAAAATTAAATATTTAATATAATAAAAATAATTAAACCAAAATGAAAATAAGAAAAATTTATTAATTTTATAATTATATGATATTATTTTTTTATTTGATTTTTTTATATTTATAATATATTAATAATTATTTAATTAAAATAAAAAAATTTTTTATCAAATCTTTATAATTATTATAATTAAAAAATATAATTAAATAATTATAAAAAAATATAATTATAAAAATTTTTTTAATTATAATTAATAATTAAAAAATTTAAAAAATATAATTAAAAAATATAATTATAAAAAGATATAATTATAAAAAAATTTAATTATATAATTCTTAATAATATATAATATTTTTATTTATATTTTAATAATAAAATATCTAAAACTTATAAAAATTTATAAATATATTCTCTCTAATAGTATAAGACATATTAACTTAATAAATTTTTATAAAATTTTATATTAAATATATTAGATTAAATATTAATATAAGTTAACTTTAAATAAAAAATTATTTAAAAATATTTTTAATAAGTAATTTTAAAAATAATTTTATAAAAATATATTTTATAAGATTAAAAATTTTTATTTCATATTTATTTAATAAATTTTAGTCAAAAGAATTTTATTTTAATAAATTTTATAATAAATTATAATAAAAATTTATTTTTATTATATTTTACTATTATTTCTTATAAAAATTATTAAAATAAAACTTTTTTAACTGATATTTATTAAATAAACATGTAATAAATTTTTTTTAAACTTATAAATATAATTAGATTTTTTTATAATTATATCTTATTATAATTATCTTTTTAAGTTTTTTAATTACTAATTAATTATAATTAAAAAAATTTTTTATAATTATATCTTTCTTTAATTATCTAATTTTACTTTTTCAAGTATAATAATTATAAAAAGATTTAATTATATATTATTTATATCTTAAAATATATTTTTACAAAAATATTTTTAAAATTACTTATTAAAAATAATTTTTTTGAAGTTATTTTATATAAATATTTAATTTATTATATTTAATATAAAATTTTACAAGATTTTATTAAATTAATATATCATATACTATTAAAAAATTTTATTTATAATATTTTAAAAAATATATCTATAAATTTTTATAAATTTTAAGTATTTTATTATTAAAATATAAATAAAAATATTATATATTATTATTTTTAT